CGCGTGGCCTGCCCCGATGCGGGCGTCCTCCGCGGCTATGCTCTACGTCTCCCTGGTCTGACCAGCAGACCAAGGAGACGGGGAGCAGCTTTTCTCACCCCGGAGAACGTGGGCGGCGGGACCGCGGCTCATCTGGGCGTCCCGCCGCTCCCGTCCTCCGGGGTGAGAAAAGCCCCGTTCATAACTGCGGATCCGACATAAGTCGGATCCGCGTAACTTGGGGACTGCCTGTATACACAAGGCACATGAGTAAGCCCATGAGTACAAGCCTTCATGTTGTGTGTTTCCTTCAGAGGGAGGAAGGTTGGGAAAAGGAGTCCCAATAATCAAATTGTATGTATTCTCCTCAAATGTTTGGGAATTGTGAAATAATTTGGCCTGTAGTGTAAACTTGAGTACAAGTTTCTTTAACATTCATACCCGAAAACTATGTGGTATATTACTGTACTGTGGAATATGCTGTAGAGTTCATGCTTCTCATGTGCAAAGAAATCATTGGAAGTCCACGTAGATCACAGAAAGTTCTCAAAGTAGCAATACAACTATGCAATATGTGTGTGTATTACGTAGGCATGTGTATTACAGGCCCCATCTCCTGAAGAAGCTATGGAAGAGAGTGAGAGGCTTCTGAAAGAACTTTATCTGTTTGATGTACTTCGGGCAGACAGAACTACTGCAGCTCATGGGTAAGACCCATTATACGCTCCCACAGTCATAGGTTTAGAACTTACACTAGAATTTTAAAGATCTTGCTGTTCTCTGTGCTACTGTTCAGACTTGTAATTTCACATTTGGTAGCATGTAGAGGGAAATGTTACCCACTGTTACTTTCATCTATAATTCAGTGTATTTTAAGGGACAAATATTTGCTAACTGTTTCAGTGGGACCATGATTTTTCCCTAAGAAGCTCGTGTGAGCAGGAAAGCAATATCCTTTTTATTGCTTCATATTAGATAAAAAACAAAAGATACCAGTGGAAAATATTGGCTAGAAGGCTGAGAACAGGACAAGGTTACATACCTAGATTATATTTAATTTGTGTACTGAAGGAATCCAGGTGCCACATTCACAGTACAGGCAGTCCCTGGGTTACATGGATCCGACTTGCATCGGATCCCTACTTACAAACGGGGTGAGGCAACCCCGCACTAGCTGCTTCCCCCCAGCAGACTAGGGAGACGTGAAGCTAGCGCCCCCCTCCCCAGCAGACCAGGGAGACGCGGAGTGCTTTTCTCAGCAGAGACCTCAGCTTGAGAATAAAGGACTGAGGGAAGTGAGGTGTGGGAGAATAAAACTGAGCTCTGGAGAAATGTTTGGCTAGAGTTTCCCCTACAATATGTACCAGTTCCGACTTGCATACAAATTCAACTTAAGAACAAACCTATAGTCCCTATCTTGTACGTAACCTGGGTACTGCCTGTATTGTGCATAAGTCATGATATCAAATGCACCAAGTCAGAGTCTGCTATTCTGTCAATTGATACAGAAAAGGCCTTTGTTGTGAGCATGACAAAATATTTACTATATTTAGAAATGCTAGTATTTGGGGGGAAATGGCCCTTCATGACCAAGATAAAATCAGAAAGCTTTAAAAATAACTAAAGGGCTTTGGCAATGTGTTTATATGTATGTTGCACCTCTGGCATAAACAGGGATGCATCTGAACATTAAGGAATGGAAATGGAAGGGGAAAAAAAAGGAAATTGACAAGACAAAGTTAGAAAGTATTAATCAAGAAGCTAGATAGATATGATGGGAAGGAGGGTCTTGTGACTAAAACAAGGCTTGGGGTCAGGAGATCCAAGTTCCGTTCTTGGCTCTGCCATGGATTTGTGTGACTAAGAGCAAGTAAACTTCCAAGTGCCTCAGTTTCTCCATTTTAATAATGTGAAGAATTCAGTAAAAGGAGTATTTGCAATACATTTGTTACACAAACGAGATTGGCTACTTATTCAAGCTTATTTTCACACTTTTTGAATTGTCCCATACTTGAAGAGCTGCCATTGCCTTTTCCTATTAGTTATACAAAAGTTTGTGAAATGTTTTATGGAACAGTTGGAAAGATCAGGTCCCTGCTCTGATAACTTATAGTTGAATGCTGACAAGAACAATGATGATAAAACCAGTATAATGTTAAATATAGATATGATGTAAAAATATGGGTAACAGTTAGTATTGAGGGGTGAGGGACAAAAATATTTCTGAGCCATAGTCTTTCCTCAGGGGCAGTGTGTACTGCACATTACCTGTAGTAAGTGGTTCTTTTTTGTGAGGAGGAAAACTAAGAATAAGAAACTCAGTTTTGGAATGAACTGAGTTGCACTGAATCACCTCCCCAGCTGACTTAGCTGCACTTACTTGCACCAGCTGTGTTCTTGGCTTATAGGCTACAGGGCATGTTAGTTTAATGCAAGTATGGCAGTGAGGAGTTGCATCAGTCACAGCCAAAGGCAAAATTCTTAATTCATTAAATATGAAGCTTTAGAAATTATACTGATTCTCTGGCTCCACAATTTATTAGACCTGAACATAAGCAGTAGGGCTCAGTCCT